TTGTATATATGAGTGTGTTGATTTTATCTTTTGATCGAATTTTTTTTGTTGTTGCTGTTCTTTATGTATTTGTATACTGGTCTATTATCAGATTTTTGTAATATTTGCACGTGTGTGCTAAGTATAAGTAAAGATTGAATTGATCAGATCAGAAAATTGTTTAAGTTGTTAAATGATACAATATTTCATGAATAATTGAAAAATAGTCAAAAAAAGCAGTCCTACTGAGTAAGATGAATTTATCCCTTATCATTTTACTAATCATTTCGGTCTTTATCGCCATATGTAGAGGTCACCTGATATATTTGTATAGATATATCAAAGAGTCGATGCGATTGCTGATAAAACTGATTGGTACTACCTTCAATTGTTTGGGTGATAGCAATAGTGCTCCAGACTGCTTTCGTGACGGTAGTGAAGCTTGATTCACAATGTTAGTTGAAGGCGTTGCGATTTCGATAGATGCAGTTGATATTTCACCTTTTCTCGTAAAAAATTAATTGCATCATATTAGAAATGATATTGCATTGTTTTTTTCATTACAGTATTGGCTTTCCATGTGTAAAACATTTTAAATACATCTTGCATTCAGATCACTATCATTTTTATTGATATCGTGTGAGAAACATGCACCTATATATTTTGATGATTTTGAATTTAGAACAAGTGTAATTACTAAAAAAACAAAGGCGAGAACACCTAGTATATCCCGTATAACAGCTGTAGTTCCAAGTAAAAAAAAGAACAAAATTTATTGTGTCTAAATACAATTACCAAATAATTTTAGATTTTCAAGTATCTATGCCATAAAAAACATAAAATAATCACATTGAAATATACTATATTAATATTCCTAGAGGCTATAGTTTGAGAGTTTTATTTCATTGGAAAATATGAAATAGGTCGAATATTTATAAGAAAAACTATCGTCAAGAATTGTTCACGATACTCGAATACACTTTTTTCCATCCTTAAACTACTAGTATGGTGATCTTCTGCGACTACTGGATTTAAACTCTAATAGAGAAACGAGATTTTTTTTAGTAGTTTTATTCACAAATATATCACAGATGTTTTAAATATACGTAAATAGAAAAAAGACTCATTTGTATAAAGACTATAAGTAGAAGTACAAATAGTGGGTCCCAAGAAGCTTTCGACTTGATAATAAATATAGGGTTGTATGGAGAAATAAAAATCATCTATCCTTGTTTGACGTTAGAAAAAAAGTTACTAAATCCAACGGCATCCATTAATATGCAAAGATAGCTTAAGGTACGAACTACAAAAAGTGAAATATAGATAATAAGATGGAGGAAAAAAATCTATTCATGTTCGAAAAATATCATCATACTGACGATATCATAAAATAATTTCAATGTTAACATCTACCTGAATGAGAGAAAAAGTCCAAACTAAATGCATCAAAGTAATACCAAGAATGTGTGTATTGAGTAATAACATCAATAATACAAATTTAGGGAAAAAACTATAGATCTAAATAACCACATTTCACAGAACTACTTAATTTCCCATATTTATAGCTCCACCAACCTTGAAATGTGATACAAATAGGTATGTAATAAAAGAGAAAAAAAATGAATGATTAACCATACAACGCCTCAACAGAGAAATAAATGATTATCAGTGCTAAATAATCATATCATGATGAAGGCTAGATTTTTTGTTATGGAATAATCCAACGATCGACTTTCGTCATGTTTGTATACATGATATTTGATGTAGTCAAATGTATAGCATTTAGATGGATTTTGAATTTATGTCACAAAGATATATTTGATTGCAAATTTTGTACTAATTATACGCTTTCAAACATCAAAATATTCACTGATCAATTTTTTCAACATATTTACGTTTGACTGAATCAGGCTTTTTTTATCTTTGAAAATCATAAAATTGGCATATCGATCAATCAACCGATTGAAACCAAAAAGGAAGATGGTAAGTAGCCATTCCCAAATTCATTACTCAGAGAACTCAATTAATAGTTATAAACATGTTGCTAATAAATTTTATAGAATGATTCTCAATTTTCTACATTATCTACTCGTCAACTGTACGGAAAGCTTTTAGAAAAATCGAAAAGCAAAGGTATTGGTTCGATCTCGATACTTTCATGTCGCAGTGGAAAGCTGAGTTTCTGTTGTCGAAATCATCGTGATAAAAAAATGACATCTTTGATGCATATGATCACATGAAAAAACAGAAGAAGCGACATAAAGCAACGAGTAGCTGATGTGAATGAATTGACAATTGATGTTTATTAAGATCTTGAGACATCTGAAGGTCGGGTCACAAAAATTTGACCTATGTCAATCATTGATATAGTCCATACTATTGTAACTTTACGAATATTTTTGATCTTGTTTACATCATCAATGAGTTGTGACTTGCCGATTTTGTTTGATGATGGAGTTCAACTTCAATTGATCCATCGACAAAATAATTCTTAATGTTCTCGACATTATAATAATCGTTTTCATTACGATATCTATGCTCATATGATTTCATACTTTTACAATTAAATGAGAATGTACATTGGTTCTCTCCTTACTGTCAATGAAGTCTATCTAGTATTCAATAGTTGAAGTTAACATGAAAAAAAATACATTGATAAATGAGAAAGATTCATTTCATGACAATAGTTTCAGTGCATAAATTGGTTTTGTTTTAGTAATTAGCAAATTCATAAATAAGTGTTCACTGCACCTATAGGCGCAAGATAATTGAAACCAGATTGCTCAGTAGCTTGTACTTGCATGCTAGGAATATAGTTTTCAGGAATATAGTTTTCAGCAGCTTTGTTGGAGGTTGGAGAGCCATGTATAAGAAAGGGTATAGCCACAAACGCTAGCACTATCATAAAACAATTTATGATACCAATACCCATAATCTGTTCATTGGTTCGTCTAATAATATATTTTAAGCATCCTTGAGTATAAAATTGTTCATAGGACACGCAATCTTAATAAAAAATTATTACATTCACATTTTCAGATGTATATCAGCCAAGAGCACTTCTTACTTGTTCGTATTGTACCGTCTGAGCTTGTTATAATAACAGAGCAACACGTTCGCGGAGTCGAAAATTGATCATAAATTGATACACCATACGTAATATTATTTGTCGGCATAACTTGTCTCGTGTGTCGAGACATTAATATGAAAGGCGTTAAAGGCATATCAAGGTGATTTCTAAGAACAATAATATAAGGGAAGATTATCAAGTAAGTTTTCAGCATCTCAAACGACTACTCACGTTTGTTTACGGTCAATATAATGTGCTCTTGATGATAATGCTGATAAGTCATCTTTGAATAAACTTGTCATATCTTCTTCCGATGGTGTAATTGCTGTGCGAACGGAACGTCTAGTTGTTCCTGATATCGTAACTGTAATAGGCTTCGTTTCATCGTAAGCCCAATCGAGCCACATAGTCATACCACAACATTTATATTTTTTTTGTATACGATCAACAATATTTCTGGCATCTGCATTCATTCTATAACCATACATGTAGCCTGCGAATTGTGTGGTCACATAGCTCGCTGACTTTGAATTTATAATAAGAGCAGTAATCAAAGACGCAAGCGCGAAGATACCAAGTACACCAGAGAAAATAGCTATAAGCTTACCTGTCAAGTGAAAACCAAAATATATCTCACGATATGTAAAATTGTGTGATTAAAGTAGAGTTTTAGAAGTCGCTTTTTTCAGAGAGAATAAACTATCATATATATTGAATGGAAAATAGGATGAATAGAATCTTTTGATAATGATTAACTTACACGAGAAAAAAGTGCATAGCAACAACATACATATGAGTCACTACGCTTCAAATATTTATCTTCAAAAAATAGACCAAAGCTTACCAAAAATTCCCTGATTTCTTAATACACAAAACAGCCCAAATCCACCCACTATAATTCCTATAAAACTAATTACAATGTTGAAGGCAGATAACCCTATCTCAGGATCAAATAAATAACCATAAGAACGATTTTGTACGATAATACCAATACTAACACCTAGATGAATTAAAGAAAATACCAAAATTAGAATCATAATAATGATTCCATAGTTATAAACTTGGAATCCCATATCCAAGAAAGAAAATATGAGTATTTAGATAATAAATATGAGACGATTAATTACAACGTTTGGTTGCACGAGTTTTATTTACATACAGGTTTATCACAACTTCGACTGCTGTATGGTCTTGTGAACAACATAAAATAAATTAAGCATATCAAACGATCATGATGAGTTGAAGGAAAACTAATGAAGCAAGACGTAATTATTCACGTCATGACATAAAAAATATTAATACTTATCGAGTGACACGGGTACTATGAAGAGGATACTAATATCGTCGCCAGAAGTCAAGGCAGGTGGATGTCTTTTGAATAACTTTTGATAGGAACAAGATAGAGACTTGCGGTTTTCAGCAATCGATAGAAGATTATATGGGACACATTTTTATATAGAAACCAAGGTTTAAATAATCAGGCACAATAGGAGTGATTATTGAATGACTGAAAGAATAGGCTCGTTATTT